ATAGTGTCTCACAAGAGTGTCCCACAAGAGTGTCCTACAAGAATGTCCCACAAGAGTGTCCTACAAGAGCGTCTCACAAGAGTGTTCCACAAGAGTGTCTTCTAAGAGTGTCCCACAAGAGTGTCCTACAAGAGTGTTCCACAAGAGTGTCTTCTAAGAGTGTCCCACAAGAGTGTCCTACAAGAGTGTCCTAATGACATGACCTATAGGATATTTTTCTTCACTTCCGTTGTGTGTGTGTCTCATATACTTCTTGTCGATGCAGGCGAACCACAACAACGCACGGTCTTGCACTCCTATTCACAAGAAGATCAGACGCCGCAATTGTGGATTTCTCTGTATTATGTGGACGGTTATCATTTTCAAGTGCTTATTTTCGAGATTTTGGGACAATGCCATTGTTTCTTTCGTGCCGCGGATCTGCCAGACCCTTTACGCCAGTGCTTGATTTGAATGCAAAACAAAAATCCTTCATGATGAAGACAGAGCTTGGTGGTGAAGTCCCCAGCGCATGCTGCCTTGGTGGTGGAGTCCCCAGTGCATGATGTCCAACAACGTGTCAGAGAGTGAAAAAGAGATTCCCACCGGCTGTGTCTCTTTTTATACACAGTGGTTTGACGTATGTGTTTGCATTCGGGTTCGTGGGCTCCATCTTGTTTTTTATTTATGTATTTTTCTTTTTGTGTGCCTATAATGTCTATTACAAGAGGTCTCGTAAAAGGATTAAGAACATAATATATATTCGTGAAAGATAAAATTGTGGTCGCAAAAGGACCGTTATGACCTTATATAAGAAAGGATATTAGCATTACAAAATTAATCGCAGAGATTTTCAATACAATTCATATATTAGTGAATATTATTTGTTATATAGAATTTTATATTTAATTCTCGCTATATAGGCAAATTTAAATCTATATTCGATTTAATATGCTATATATTGGGTTGTAATATTCATAAATGATTTCTTTTAAAATATGTTTTTAAGGTAATTATTTTTTAAATATAATTTTGAAAATTATATTTGGAATACGGTCAATTTAAATATAT